TGCCGATAAGACTCCAGGACAGGCGAGGGAGGGCCAGGAGGACAGAGAAGGCAAGACAGTCTTCTCCCTTCCACACTGCAGGTGAATTCCCTGGACCACAGCCCTTCTGTTAAGGCGCTGTCCACCCCACCCCTGCAAAGGATGATGGGAAATGAAGGCATTAATGGAGATAGAGCAGACCCTAACCAGTTCTTTCCCTCACAAGCCAACAAGGATGGAGGATCGTCTCTGTCACTTACTTTGCCTATGCAGCTATGGCAACCAGGTGTCTTTAAAGTTTCATGTTTCTAGAAGCCTTTCACAGGGAACAGCTGGCCATTAGACCCTATGTTTGTGCTCTTGTCTACACAGAACTCTCTGCCTGTGTCCTGGGTGCTTCCCCTTGCAGGAGCCGAGTACCCTGCCTTTCCACATGAAATGAACCCAGTTATTCTGCTTTTCTTTTTAGCAGTCATTACTGACAGAAGTAACTAACTACCAAGTTTAGGACACTTAACATCTGGTTGATGCCAGGCATGGTAGCTCACTCCTATAATCCTAGCTACTCTGGAAGCTGATCAGGAGGATTTCGGTTCAAGGCCAGCCTGGGCAAAAAGGTTTCAAGACCCCCATATGAACCAGTGGCTGGGCAAGGTGGGGCTGGCCAGTCATCCCAGCTACTCAGAGAAGCACAGAGAGGAGAATAGTGGTCTAGGCTGGCGTTGGCAGAAGGTGAGACCCTGTCTCAAAAATAAAGAAGGCAAAAAGGGCTGATGGAGTGGCTCAAGCAGCAGAGCACCTGCTTAGCAAGTGCAAGCCCCTTCGTTCAATCCACAGTACCAGAAAACACCAACAACAAAACTGTCTTAAACAGGCCTACCAGAGTACCTGAGTGTGAGGAAGGAATGCTAGCTTTTTGTTGATTACACTCTTGTAAATAACCACTTTTGCCAGGTGCTGGTGGCTCACACCTAAAACCCTCGCTACTTGGGAGGCTGAGATCGGGAGGACTGAGGTTCAAGGTCAACCCTATCAAATAGTTCACGAGACTCCATCTCTAAAATAACCAGAGCAAAAATGGATGGAGGTGTGGCTCAAGTGGTAGAGCGCCTGCTTTGCAAGTATGAAGCCCTGAGTTCAAACCCCATTCTCACCAAGAAAGAAAGAAAGGAAAGAAGGAAGGAAGAAACTAATCAGTGTTTGACATCAAAAGGGACAAGGACAGTATGGATGACTGACACCTAGTTATTGGTACTCTTTTACCTTCAAGACCACCATGTAATCTCAAAATTTTCTTTTGGCAGTACTGGGGTTTGAACTTAGGGCCTCACACTTGCTAATCTGGTGCTCTACCACTTGAGCCAGTCTGTCAGCCCTGTTTTGTGTTGGGTATTTTCAAGATAGGGTCTCCCAAACTCTTTGCCCAGGCTGGCTTCGAATCACGATCATCCTGATCTCTGCCTTCTGAGTAACTGGGATTACAGGTGCAAGCCGCTATATCAGAATCATTTTAATTTTATGTTTTTTTTGTGTGTGTGTGGTGCTGTGGCTTAAGACTAAGGCCTCACATATGCTAGGCAAGTGCTCAATCACTGAACTACATTCTGAGCTACTTAGTGTTTATTTTGTTTATTTACTTATTTATTTTGGGTCTTGCTATGTAGCCCAGGCCTTGAACTCTCAATCCTCCTGCCTCAGCCTTCTGACTTCTGAGATTACAGGCATGCACCACCACACTGGCTTTATTTAGTGTTTTTTCCATACAGCTTAGGAGGCTCAATGGTAGAGTGCTTGCCTAGCATGTGCAAGGCCCTGGGTTCTGTCTTCCATATTACTAAATAAATAAAATGCAATTTAAATTTTCTCCTTCAAAGATAGCCAGAGTGTAGCTAGAGAGAAAAGGAAAATTTCTACACATTAAAAGGGACTTAAAAAGTATATCCACTGTGTACAATGTGAAAATATTATCTGGGTCACAGTGTAAAAGAGCAAACCTTGAGTATGACATGGATGAAAAAAATTGATTTCTGATTAGATGTGTGGTAAAATAAGGAATTATCGTGTTTTATCTTTTAAAATGCTTACATAAGAAAGTATATGAAAGAAAGAAAGCATATAATTTCTAGTATTTGCTTCAAAGTAATGTGGGAAGGAAAATGTAGGAGTTTAGATGAAACATGGTTGGCCATGACTTTGATGATTGTTACGTCTATGGGTGGGTACACCAGTGTTCCTTATACCAGTCTCTCTACCATTTGTGTGTTTGGAATTCATTTGTTTGCTGTTTCCTGTCTGTCATGAGGTGAATAGCCTCCTCCTCCTCCCCGACTCCTGCTACCATGATGGTGAGACCACAGACCCAGAATCAGTGGAGCCAAGGACTATATAGGGCCTGAAACCCCCAACACCATGAGGTACAAGAAATCTCCCTCTCCCCAGTATTGTTTATGGCAGGTATTTTGTCACAACAACTCAAAGTCTGACTAATACAAAAAAATTGGTATCAGAGAACAGGGTCATTGTTGTGATCGAACCTGATCTTGTGGTTTTTAAGCCCTCAGAATTGGTTTGTGGGGAGAGTTTGGGAGAGTTTGGATCTGTACACGAGAGAAGCCCTAGAATACTGTAAGGTCAGTTTTATGGGTGATTCTGGGGAGAACTCAGAAGACCAGAGTGCCAACAGAAATGCAGACAGTAAAGACTGTGCTTCAGACAAGTACTGAATTTAGAATTGGAACTAGAGGCCACTCATGCTACATTGTAAAAAAAAGTCTATATTTTGTTTCTATCCTGAGAATTTTCATGAAGCTGAATTTAAAGGTGACACACTAATTAATTTGATGGAGGAAATGTTAGGGCAGCCCAGCATTCAGGCTGTGGCATGGTTATTGCTGGCTGCTTTTAGCCAGATTTACAATGAGAATTGGGAGCAAAAGGCAGAGCAGAAGAATTTAAAAACATACAGTTTGATCAGAAAAGGATCACCTTTAAAGTTGGGACCAAGGAAGGTGTGGTTGTTAAACAGATCAGCACCATTGAAAAGAATCCAAGTGCAAGGACAATTGGAAAGATGTTATGTTGCCATCTCAGGAATCAGAGTGACCCCTGCCATGGCAGCTTCAGGGATATAAATGTGTAAACTCATTTTGAAGACTTTCCCCTGAGAAGAGAGAGCCACCAGGGCATCTGCTGGCACAGGGTTGCCTAGCGAGTTTGTTTCCTCATGCTCAGTCACAGAGGCACTCAGAGGCCAAGGTGGCCATGGTCCAAGCGAGCCTAGCTATTGTTTAAGCTGGAAGCAGACCTTGGTATCATCCACATGATGCTTTTGTAGGCATGCAAAATGCAACACCACTCCCCCAAAATACAAGAGTTACAGGGTCATGGAGGCTTCCACCCAGATTTCAAAAGAAAGCCTGAGAGGCCAGGCAATGTGTGACAGGGCTGGAGTCCCTGCAGGCAGCCTCTGAAAGGATGCTGTATGAAGCTGTGAGGGTGAAGCCTGATCTGCAATGGAGGTCTCAGGAATATAAAACGTCTGTCAAGGAAAGTCACAGGCAATGAGTGGAGCCAGCTTGAGAGGAAAGACATATGGACCACAGACAGTAAGGCTGTAGGGTGGGCCTACCCAAAGCTATTGGAGCTCACGTCACAACACTGCATGTCTAGATGCTGGACATGAAGCTACAGGATTTAGTGCTTTCCCTGAAGGATTTCCATCTTGCTTTGGTCTGATCCTTCTTTGCTTTTTTCCTATTCCTCCCTTTTTGGATGGTGATGTTTATTCCATGCCACTGTATCTTGGAAGTACATGTAACTTTCTCTCTGATTTTATAGGGTCTCACAGCTAATAACTTGCCTTGATTCTTAGAGGAGAATTTGAACTTAGACTTTTGAACAGTGTTGAACTCTGGGAGATGGACTAATTGCATTTTGGATTATAAGATGAGGTCATGAGTCTTGGAAGCCAGGGGCAAAATGCTATGGTTTGACTATGAAATGTCCCCCAGACGTTCCATAGGGTGCCTCTGTTGAATGCTTTGTCCCTGGCTGGTGGGGTTCTTTTAGGAGGTGGTGAAAACTTTAGGAGGTGAGTCCTAGTTGGAGGAAGTAGGTCACTGGGGTGTGACTTTGAAGATTGTACTTGGTCCCTGTTCCTTCCTCTTTCTCTGCTTCCTGGCCACCATGAGGTGAATAGCTTCCTCTTCCATACACTTCCACCACCATGACGTTCTCCTTCGTCAGTGGAGTCAAGGTCTATAAACTGAAACCAACTTGTGAGCTAAAATAAATCTTTCCCTCTTAAAAATTAATTTCTGTAACAATTTAAAGAAGAAATTCATACATACCCAAACTCAGACACACATCTAAACATATTTTCAACAATACAAAATTCTTTCTAAATATAGGGTTTTTCTAGCTCATTTTTTAGTTCTTGTGAAACTAGCTGGAAATGGCTAACTAGCCCTGCCCATAGCAGAGATCGTTTGGGACTATAAAAATATTGATTAGAAGTCAAGTCTTAGGAATGATTTACTTATCATTTTTAAGTGTATTACTGGGGCCAAGTGCTGCTTGGTAAGCTGAGATCAGGAGGATCAAGGTTTGAGGTCAACCAGGGCAAATAGATTGTGACACCCCCATCTCCAAAATACCCAGAGAAAAATGTGTGACCCAAACATTAGGGCACCTGCTTTGCAAGCACAAAGCCATGAGTTCAAACTCCAGTTCCTCCCACAAAAAAAAAAAAAGATTATTACTGGGACTAGCATGGTGGCTCAAGCCTATAATCCTAGCTACTAGAGAGGTGGAGATGGGAAGGATCGCAGTTTGAGGCCAGCACAGACAAAAAGTCCAAGAGACTCCATCTCAACCAATAAAAGCATGACACACATGGCGGTGCACGCCTGTCATCACAGCTATGTGGGAAGCATAAGCAGGAGGCTCACAGTCCAACCTAGCCCAGATATAAAGCAAGACCCCATCTCAAAAATAACCAGAGCAAAATGGACTTCAGGTGTGGCTCCTGTGGTAGAGCGTATGCCTAACAAATGCAAGGCCCTGAGTCCAATCCCCAGTACCATCACACACACAAAAAAAGCATATTACCAGCTTATTTCTGAATATCTCATTTTTATGAATGTATAAAACTTCATTATAAATAGTGCATTAATTTTTATCTTTTTTTCCCCTTTATACTCACTTAAACCCTTCGGGGAACGTATATACTAAAAACCTTTATGAAGAAGTAAGTAGGGTGTGTACATTCAGGCTGCAAGGAGTCATAGAATATTCCATGAGGAATCCCTGGCTTTCAGCTGAAATGGAATCACTTTCCTCTTAAGAACATATTTTTCCTCTCTGAGGGAAAGGACCTCCAGGTGTTGCCACTTTTTATTTATTTATTATTTATTTGTTCATTATTTATTTATTTGGGGGTTGCCGATGAAGGTAAGTACTTATGCAGGTACAAGAAGCTGGCAATGGGATACTCAGGGTAAGAGAATTATAGAGGTGAAAAGTAAAACCTTTTCCTCACTTATCCCAAGGTTCATGGCCAAGACTTACAACAAAAGACAGACAAACAAGAGAAAAGCATTCAGATGTATTTAATGTAAACTTATGTGACACAGAAGCCTACAGAAATGAATGTCCAATGAAACAGGGAAGTCTGTCCATTTTTTTGGGCTGTCATGCAGCTGCTCTGATGGTGGCAAACCTTTTCTTGCTGACTTTGCATTTTGTTCCTCTGTGAAAAAGATGAAGGTAAGTAGGCCTATGACTTCCTTAAGGTGAAAGGTCAGCTAGGTGTTAAGGCCTGCTTCCAGGGAGGAGGGGTGAGGCAGGAGAGTGGCCTTCCTGCTTCCTGTGGTTTTGTTTCAGGAAGGACAGACATCTGTGTGGAGAGGCCCACCCCCTCGGACCTCCATTTTCTCTCAGGTAACTCTAGCTCCAAATGCTTGGTTCCCTGACTTGTGGGGTCAGGACAGGAGCCTGGAGCTGTCATCTTTCTTCTGAGCAGGGTTAGGCTACTCAGAGGAGGACAACCAGTGTTCTTGAGACATGTGTCAGTGACCCAGGCAGAGGGTACTAGCAGGGATGCTTGGCTACAAGCAGTCCCTTAGACCCTCAGCTGATACTCAGAGGTGTCAGACCTGGTTCCAAAAAAGCTGAAGGGCCCAATGGTGTCAGACAAGATGAGGCTAGCCTACAGGCATGGACCAGGACAGAGTAGGTATCACAAGAGGGGAAGGCAAGGATTAAGTCCCCATCCAGGACCGGTCATAGCTGGCAAGCCAGACAAGCCTCGCCTGTTCTGTTCATGGCACTGAGCGGCAGCAGCAAAATGAATGGCTTTGGAGGCCCAATCCCCCCATAATCTCCACTACTCTCCCCAAAGCCACCCCAACTAAACTCTTTCCCAGATAGCTTTCAGGGCGAGCTAGCTTCCAACCCTTCCAACTCACTTGCTGCTCCCAAATTTGGCACGTCACCCGCTCCAGAGAAAGATCTGGGAGAAAAAAAACATCTGTGGGACCAAAAGCTTACATTTGGGAAAAGTCAGCCCATCTCATTGAGCTTTATTTTCCCATTGGTAAAATTAAGATACTACCTATCTACGTTTCTTAGGGTTACTGAGAGAGTGGAGTGGAGAACTGAGTGTTCCATTGGTTCTAAGACATTCATTTTTTGTACACAGTTATCTCTGAAATTGGGATGCACCTTATGATCAATGGTTTCTTGTACTCAATGTAGTCATCCCTCAGTGTCTGCCTGGGATTGGTTCCAGGCCTCCTTTGGATGCCAAAATTCATGGATGCTCAAGACCCTTATATAAAGTGGTATGGCATTTGTATATCACCCACAGCCATACTCCTAGATACATTTTTTTGCCATTCTGAGAATCAAACCCAGGGCCTCACTCCCCATATACTCTAATCCCCCCCCAGATTACTTAGAATACCTGATACAATATAAACACTATATAAATAGTCGTTACACTGCCTCTGGGCTCTAGGTTGTAGAATACTTGCCTTGGGTATGATTCCCCAGAACTGAAAAAAACAATGTAATTATACTCTGTTTTTTAGGGAATAATGACACCAAAACAAAGTCTACATGTTCAGTTCAGATGCATTCTTTTCAAACATTTTTCTATATATGGTTGGATGAATTCAGAGATGTGGGCCTTGTGTGTAAGGAGAGCCAAGTCCATATAGGAAACCAATCTTTTTCTGTGATGCGAACCTCCCACCAGTTGATGGGCCAGTGGCACCCCCTGCTGCTGGCACCCATGCACTGCATCCTGCCCAGTTACAGTCACAGGTGATGGCAAGTTAGAACAGCAGCAGCCTCTTGAACTGTAATGGTTGCTCCAACCCCTGACCCTCCTCATCACAGCATGTCTTGTCAGGTTCTCACACTCCTCTGACCTGAATCCATCTGGCAGTGGGACACCGTGCCCCTGGGACATCAGGAAAGACAGTACAGTTGAAAATTGTTGGGGCCTTGTCCCAGCCCAAACACTACCCATTCTTGATGGTACCATGGCACTGGTTAACCTGGATTTTCCTTTTTTTTTTTGCAGTACTTGGTCTTGAACTCAGGCCTACACACCTTAAGCCACTCCACCAGCCCTTTTTTGTGAAGGGTTTTTTGCAAGATTGGGTTTCACAAACTGTTTGCCTGGGCTAGCTTCAAACTGTAATCCTCCTGATCTCTG